TGTGTGTGTGTGTGTGTGTGTGTGTGTGTGTGTGTGTGTGGTTATGTATGTATGTGTGTAAATGAGTGCTGGCTGGAAATGCCTGGGTGACCTAATGCACATCTGTGTTGTTGGAATGATAGACAGAGAGCGTTTAAAAGTCTAAAAGTCTCCTCCGTGCAGAGGAGCAGAACAGCAACTTTAATCGAGGCATTAAAAAAGTCAAATTTAGGACAAAACATCAAGCAAACAAACAAGCAGTGTGTTATCGGGCCCCAATGCTCTGACACTGGGGATGTGACTAAGGTTATCGTGCCCCCTCCACCAGCAGCTCATGTTCTAAGCTGCCATATCTTATTAATAAACCTGCAGAATAGTAACCAGATCCAACCAACTCATTAGTTCTTCAGCCTCATTCTCAAGCTGTTCTACAGTTTCTCAATGCCAGAAAGAGCTTTATCTCTGAGTTGAAGTTTTACTTATTTCATCTCACTTATCTAGTGTGTTTATTATTCTTATCCAGCTCTTTCCTATTATCATACTATTCATTTTACTTTCAGAAATGTAATTAAAAAGCACCAAGTCCCATTATAGGAAAAAGTAGTTCAGTATTCTTACACCTTAATCCTTCCAGGTCTTGCATTATTTTTAAATCTGTTTCTTTGAAGTTTTGAAATGGTAGTCCACAACCATTTGTTTGTTTGTTTTTACACACAGCAGGTCTATCAGTCTCACAGTCCAAAACCACCCAACCAAAGGGTCTAGGTCAGGGACACAATTTTTGACTTTGTTTTGTATCAGGATGCATTTTACCTCAAGTTGGTAAAAATAGATCTGTAGCTGGAATAGGTTCCATCTGCCCTGAGACACTGAAACATATAAGAAGAAGAGGATGGATGGATGGCTTATTATGAATCAGTTTCATAATCTACAGACTTCCACTACAGCAAATGTGGTGGCAGAATTATGATGTCCACTAAAAGACATACATTTGTTAAAAAAAAAAAAAATTGTGAAAAGCCACATTAGTTATTTCAAATTCGAATGGTGATTCAGATTGCCTTATTCATGTGCTTCAAATTTAAGCAATTGACAGACCAATCTCTAAACTTTCTCTAGTTAAAAAAAATCTTGAAAGAGTAGTTTGCCATCGCCAGTGTGTGAATGTGTGTGTGAATGGGTGAATAACTGAATGTAGTGTGAAGCGCTTTGGGGTCCTTAGGGATTAGAAAAGCGCTATAAAAATGCAGGCCATTTACCATTTAGTTGTAAAACAGCAAAGTGGCTGTCTGCAGAGGAATGGTTTCTTTGCAGAATTTCAGTCAGGATTAAAAATTCATTACAGAAACAGCACTTATGACAGTTACTAATGACCTACTAATGTTTGTTGACAGTGAACTCATCTCTGTGATTATTCTCATAGACCAGCGTTTTATACTATTGACCACAATGTTTCATTACAGAGATTAGAACACATTGTACATATTATTTGTATTGGGCTGTAGAGCTTTGAATCATTTCTATCTAATAGGGTCCAATTTGTTCATGTAAATGGGGATTCTTATTCATACACTAAGGTTGATTATGGAGTTCTACAGGGATCTGTGCTAGGTCTAATTCTAATTCAATTTATATTATGCATGCTTCCCCTGTGCAGTATCACTCAGTGGCTTTTAGTATAGTATACATTTTCATTGCTGCCCAAATGATACACAGCTGTATCTTTCCATGAAGCCAGATGACACATGCCAGTTCGTTAAACTGCTGAAATGTCTTGATTACATAAAGACCTGGATGACCTCTAATTTCCTGCTTGTGAATTCAGATAAAACTGAGGTTCTTGTACCCAAAAATCTTAGAAACATAGTGTCTAATCAAATATTTATCCTGGTTATCTTGACCTGCAGTAACACTGTAAGGAATTGAGTTATTTTTGACCAGGACATGTTCTTCAGTGCCCATATTAAACAAACAAACAAAAATATTAGTAAAATTGTCCTGTCTCAGAATGATACTGAAAAACTAGTTCATACATTTATTACTTCTATGCTTAACTATTGTAATTTATTATTTTATTTTCAGGTTGTTCTAAAGGTCACTGAAAAGCCTTCAGCTAGAGCAAGAGTATTGACAGAGTCTAGAAACAGAGAGCATAGTCCGCCAATACTGGCCTCTCCCTGTTAAATCTGAATTGGATTTAAAATCCTTCCCATCACATACAAGCTCATGAATAATCAGGCCCCACATTATCTTAAAGACCTCATATTCCCATTTCATTCAAATAGTATATGTTTCACTTCACTCTCAGACTGGTTTACTTGGCTCCAAGGGTATATAAAAGTACAATTGGAGGCAGAGTTGGGATTTCCAGTTAGGATTCCAGAGACAGACAACTTCTCTACTTTTAAGATTTGGCCTAAAACTTTCCTTCTTGACAAACTATATAGTTAGTTCTGGATCAGGGGATCTTGATTCCTCCCTTAGTTAAGCTACAATAGGTTTAAGGCTGCTGGAGACTTCCCATGATACATTAAGTGTTTCTTCTTCACTCAGATTTTTATCACTATGTGTTTACACACCACTTTGCACTTAGTTACTATTAATCTCTGGCTCTCTTCCACAGCATATCTGTTGTTCTGTCTCCCTCACTCCCTTATTGTATGAACTACCTATACTATAAAGTGCCTTTAGGTGACTGTTGTTGTAATTTCGGAACTAAACTGAACTGAATAGAAAATCACTGTCCAGATAAATCCTTAGCTGTCGAGTGGTAAGGGTTGCTTTGAGAAAACTCAGTGAAAGCCAAGCAGTGACGTTGATGTGTTGCTTTGATTTACAACAGCTGGTTTTGTAATGGCCCTCCTAATCATCCATTAAACATGAACATTTTCAGTATGCACTTGTGCTTCTTTTTGTTACAAGTCAGGGAAGGTTTTTGTTTTGCTTTTTTATTTTTTTATTTTTTTTTTTGAGACTTTGACCTTTGAACTAAGATTACTTTGACAGCCCTACCCTCCTGTCTATGCTTTCTACCAATGAGAGATTAGACATGACAGCCAGCAGTGCCAGTGGTGCAAAAACATCATTATAGTCCCTAGCAAATTCTTAACTCACATATATTTTTATATACTGCATTTAAACTGAGAACTTAAAATGTAATTGATAAATAAAACAACAATTCAATCTTATCAAATCCAAAATATACACAAACTTCCTTAAAACTGACAGGTTCCGAGCTCTGACTGAGCTACTCTCACTGGTGTTAAGCAGTTCCAGGCAGGACTGTGAGCACTAAAGATCACAGAGACATTTCCAGTTGTTTTTGCTGTGCTACATGAAAGAGAACAGAAAAGTGACAGCTCATCAATTACCAAAAGTCAACATGACCTTTAACCTTTAGAGCACATGCTGAAGGAATCTGTTAAAAAGTGTGATACCAGTGCTTTTTAGTCTGTTTCACTTGCAGTGGCTGACATAAATGACTTAGCAGCTCAGGCTCTGTGGATTTTGAATGAGAGATATTGACTGGTAACGAGTGTTTGAATATTCTCAGGTAATGTAAAGAAAATGTACTTTTTCATTAGAAAACAACATAGGAAGTATACATTTGTGCATTATTAACAGTCTGAAGTGTTACTAAATGAATATAAGTAATAATTAAATGAAAGAAAACACAGAGTTACATGCATATAGTATTGTTACCAGTTCAGTGTTATGATATCATCTCACTTTCCCCCTTGGGAAAGTCACATGACATTTGTTAGGGCAAGAGGAGGTGGAGGGGGTTAAAGTGCCTCAATGAAAACCACATGGGGGGAGGAGAGACCTGAGACCAGAAAGAGAGGGGAGGGGGGAGACAGAAATAGAGAGAGGCCCACTTGAGCTAGTAAGATAAAAGAAAAAAGCTGTAAAGAAGGTCTAAGAGTACACCAAACTCAGAAGCAGGACTGAATCCAGGACCACGACCAGGAGCGGCCCAGTTCACCATGTCAGACTCCATCAGAAGAAGAAGCTCCAGCAGGCAGCTTCTGCAGAACCTCATCAGGTCAGTGGGAAATGTTTTTTGGTCACAGATTCTTCACCTGCACAATAAAATGAGTAGATACATAATGACACATCAGCCAAAACAGTAGAAGAATGCAAATGCATATTTAAATGCTAGCGATAAACTTAAGATAAGTGCATATCTAGCAGATATTAAAAACCTATGAGTACAGCTAAAATTTCAATCAGCCATACTTTGAAGCAAGATACATTTTTGAACGTGCAATATTTGTAATACATCTTATATTATGATCATATGACCATATTGTTTGTAACCAAGCATCATCTATATTGGCTGTAATGTACAAATTGAAAAACTGTAAAAATGAAGAGATGAATTGATTACAGCAGAAAAGCAGCATGGCTTTTTTATGTTTCGATTTCAACTTAGTCCTTTCTACTTTATCTTTAATATGCAATTGTATGCATGCAGGTCTCATGGTTTAAATTATGTCCTTGAAGATGGGTGATGTGGGTTTTTTGAAAATCAAGACATTTCATCCTCATGACTTCAGCATTACAATGGCGTACTTGGCAAATAACATGAAGCTGTGACTGTTTTTTCAAATGATGTGAGTGAAAAGCTTATAACAAAGCAGTCCAGTATCTCTGTTTTGTACTTACATGTCACCTCACCCCTGTTTAGGTTTATTGCAACCAGTTTGCACCACATTTATCTGAATCGTATTTCACATCCTACTGAAATTGTGTATACTTCTAAACCAGAAATGTGGTAACAGAGAAATTAAAATGTATAGTTTAGTAGTTTTAGTGTTAAACAAAATAAGACAAAAAATAAGTATTTTTCTAAAGAAAACGTAAAGAAGTGTCTTCTGCTGACTAGTTGTTAACCACTGTTTTGGAGCATGACCTGACAAGTTACCAAGAATTAAATAGAAGTTTGTAAAATGAGTTCTAAACAGTTTCTTCAGCTCCTCCTTTAAAACAATGGAGGTAATTGCTCAATTTAAGTTACTTTTATCATCACAATGATTTTTAATTCAACCAGCCATTTGTTGCTTTCTGTTCTCTATTTGCCTAATTTGGCCATTTACAGCAATCTGCTCTAATTTTTCACCTCTAATAGGCACAGGACCCTGAATCAGTGATACAATCATTGTCTCTGTATTTCTTGTATTTCTTGTTTCCTCCATGAGTGCTGGAGCATTGCTATGTGACTATACTCAAAATGACATTAGGCTGAGTTCAGTGGCTTCCTTTATAGCTGCAACTTTCTTAATGTCTATGACATCATCTGGCTGACTCCTGAACCCCCTCCTGCTCTACTACGTACACACATAGAGGTACACACACACACAAAGAAAATCCTGTTCTGCAGGCCTGCATTGCCTCATTGTGTAAATGGTGGAAAAAATTATGCTAATCAGACAGACATCCTCTGTAATTTTATGGTTATTAACATTGTGTTAAATACCCCAGCAGACCCCAAGGATACCGTGTAGTTCAGACCACTCTGCAGAGACAATACATTGTCTGAGCATGTGAAGAAAATGCAACAATACAAAACTGTGCTTTTTGGCAGATCACACAAACAGTTTCACACTGCCAGACTGATTTGTTATTGCATCTAAAAGCAGTCGTGTAGAATGCAACACGTCAGCAGACAAGCCAGCTGTTGGTCACTTCTTTGTCCACTGTTTTGTGTGCATAGATTAAGTGCTGCTGATGTTATACCACACGTTGCATGGATTGATTGTGTAGGTCATCCACCAGTCAAAACATTGGTGAATCCATCCCTGACTCCGCCAGTATCCTCCAACAACAGTTGCCCCAACAGTTACCCCAGTGGACCATATGGGACTATGTGTGTGCGTGAATGTTATAAAGCACCGTATGAATGTGTGTGATTGGTGAATGAGATTTCTAGTAAGAAAATACTTTGAGTGCTCAAATAAGTACAAAGGCATGACATTTGCCAGTATTAACATTTGACAGAAACCATAAAGTTCAACTCACCTTAAACAAAGTGATGTGACTCTATAAACCTCACCACACAAATATGCAGTTTATACAGCCGCAATACTGCCTAATCAACTTCCAGAGAGGTACATAATTATTATTTACTCAAAGGAAGCAATTACTTAAGGACATAGTGTCAGTGGGATGTCATCTAATTTTAGATCACATCACAAACCATAAAAATTAAAGACTATGTGAGAGTACTATATTTACAGTTTGGCCAACATATGTAAAATTGCAATTATTTCATGCGTTAATTTAAATTTTTACAGAAATTGATAAGACTACATTTGCCTTTGCACAGAAATAATAATTCAGCAAGCATGATCAACTAATTCTGAAATTTAACCTGACACAGTTTTTTATACCACTTCCTAAACATAGCTTTTAGATAAGCAAACAGTGTGTGTGTTAGGAAGCAGGTAGGCTGTCCTTGAGGCAACAAATTATGCTAAATAGATAACAGGCTATCATTTTCCAAAAGGCTCCAAAACATTTGCATAGCCCACTCAAAAAGTTGACTCTGTTCTTCTGGATGTTGCGTTTCCAGTGTGAGAAACATTAGGTCACTTCATTTAGTGACTTCTTCTGGAGAAGAGTTCTAGACTCCTACATGTTTAATCTGTTCAGGTTAGCAGTTCAGCTGCCATTTTTGTTTTTGGAGCTAGAAGTTTATGTAACAAATCTGGATGAGAGGTTAACAGTTGTCAGAAAATGCTAGTTAGCTTGTTGCCATCGTGTATTCAAAAACCGCATAGGTGCTAATTAGTTATAAGCAACATTCAATCAAAAATACTTTAGTTTCTGAGTGCATTGTACCTCACAATAGGTCATATTATTTGTCAGATAATTTCATTCAAAATGCTCCAAAAGACACCAACAAAAACATCAAACATCAGCGAGCAAATAGCCAACACATATGGACATATAAAGATTTCATGCTTCTTCCCCTTGTTACATTTCATGCAGTAGTGATGAGGTCCAGACAATCAAACCTGATCTCCAATTGACCCATCACCACCCACTCTCTCTCTCCCCATAGCCTGACTGCGAAGCCAAAACAGCCCTGTCACACATCAAATCAGATTACAGCAAACTTAAGACAGACTTGACAACATGACTCCTACTACATCTCTAGTGAGTACAATCGTATGTAGGTCACTTTCCCACATAACAACCACAGCATGTTTGACTTAGAACTTATGGTCAGCGTCCTCACTAAAAGTCTTAAGCAATGAGATTTTCTTCAGTTGCTTATTAAAAACTTTCACAAAGATTTTATCCACAGATGAGCTGATTTATATTTAAGCCTTTTGCATTGCATTGCACTGGCAAATTTTCTGCATGTTTTATGTATTCCTTCAGTTAGAACCAACAAGATCACACTTTTGCCTTTCTTTGTTCCTGCTGTTCTTGTACAGTTTTATGAAACGTCAGAAAAAAATATTTCAAAATGAGACACTAAAAATAAAGTAATGTATTTTGAAGCTTTTTGACTGCTGGCATGGGCCAGCAGTGATTATATGTGGACAAGAGTCAAGAATGATAAGTTAGCAGCTAATGCTAGCTTTAATAGCAAACTAAATCCATAAACTAGATAATATCCCTTTTTAAAAATAATAATAATAAAAATCTGACAAACAAACGAAACCAATTATTTGCACCAGGATGTAAATGTGATATTTAATGTTATGTAGTCATATTTTAACATAGCGTTGAATCGACTACCTCACTATTAAACTTACACCCATCATTTATTTTGATGCTTTTTTTCTTTGGTGCAGTTTTCTACCAATGCATACGGTTCAAACAGATTGATCACAGACTAACAATTTCCAAAACAAGTTAGTGTGGAATAAATTCGATGTGATATATAGGTGATATGTATCATTCATCAAGCTAATCATGTAATGATGTGTATACTATACTACAACATGGACATTAGCATTACCATCCCATTCCAGAGAAAGAAATCAAAGCTGAATAGTTGAATGTTTACACACAGTGCTAAAACTTAATCATTTATTGTCTTTTTTTTTTTTAAATGCTTCCAGGGTGTTTATTTTAAGCCCAACGTCTCTTGTTGCATGCCAGAAATAAAGAATATGCAACAATGTTGTTATGTTTCCAAACAGAAGCAATTAAAGTGATGAATTCCCTGCCATTGTGGCTGTTAAAACTGTATCCAAATTGTAATGAGCTGACATTTTCCTTCAAAACAATGACATCACACTCCAAAGACCCTTTCTGTACACAATAGAAAGTCCAGAGATTTAGGTGATGTCAAACTCCCAGCCAATCAGAATAAATATTTCCGAGGTTTTGCTCATTCCAATTTCCAGACAAGACTTTATCCAGACCTCGAGTTGTATGACAAGATGGAGCATTAAGGTCTCTCTCTGTCCTTCTCCTCCATATCTTGACCTCCTCCTCCACCTCCTCACTCTCCTTCTCTCTGTTTTTCTCTCGAGATTGAAATTAAGTGAAAAAGCACGGCAGCTGGCTCAAACTCCACCAGATGTTCTTGGACAATAAAAGGAGTTATTGTTATCAGGTCACACCCACTGGAAGCTAAAACCAATCGGGCAAATGAACTAATGCGCTTTTGATGGGAAAGAACTCGTTCTTTCCAGTGAATTTTAAATTATGTGTGAAAAACTCATCATGCATAGACTTTTCCATAGGTTCATTTCAACATTGTACCAGATAAATAGCAAATGTGCATAACATAGATCTGGGTGCCAGCGTGGCTGCTCGATGCTAATAAGGTCAGTTCAGTTTTTCATTTCTTACAACTTTCAATCCTCACTATATCATCCTGGGTTTGGCCTCTTAGACTAAATTAAAGGAAATTTTAGTTCAGTGACATCTTTGTAGCACCCTGTGTACAAAGCAAGTTCCCAAAAGATTTTTTTCCCCGAGTTCTAAGAGCATCCACAGAGCCCCAGCCTCATTTCAATTCAACAGCTTTGGGATGAGTTGGAGCAATGCAGGCATTATTGCTCAACATCAGCGCTCTCATGGAAATACTGAATCAAAACACTGGCTTTCAGAGCAGCATATTTCCTGGCAGAGTAACCTTCTAAATAATCACATGTTGTTCTAATATTCACAGTAGGTGTCCACAAACTCAGAACAATGTAGCAAATCTGGAAGGTTGGGGAGCCTTGGGCAGTTACATGGGCACGCACTGAGGGGAAGCCAACTTTACCATCTCTTCAACAGCTTAAAAGTCCACCAACAGTAATTACATGAAAACTATGAGAAGAATTTTACAACTACTTATGGCTTTTTTTTTCAAATACACTTTTTTGGAAATGTATGTATGTAAAAATTAATGAAGAATTGATTTCCATTTAGAGTTAATATATCCATCCATCCATGTCCTTGTGCTTATCCAGTAAGGGCTGGATAAGCTACATATAGCCTCTTAAAAGGTCTTTTCTAAAATGTATAACATTGCATTTGCAGTATACACTGTGTGTCCTGTAAGTGTAATGATATTTGTGCGAACTGCAGGGTGACAGCACAGCGGAGCCAGGAGGATGCTGAAGAGATTGAGCGGGAGAGAAGGAGAAGGGCCAGGGAAAAGCAGAGAGGAGAGAAGAGCCCGTCCTGGCTCGAGCCCACCCAACAGAACCACTACACACAAAACACAGAGTAAGTAATGTTGTAGCACACATTGTTTGTCAGGCCTTCCAGCTTCTTATTCAGCTTCTTACAGCTTTTGCTACATAAATATCAACAAGTCTGTCTAGAAACAGAAAATATAAAAGTATGTAATTTTTCTCGTCACATAACAAATAACCTTTTATCTTAGGCTTAAGCTGAGTTTTTTATAGTCTTCCACCCAAAGAAATGTTACAGAGCTGTAAAAGGATATGTATCCATCCATCCACTTACATCACTTTTAAAAAATATGTTTTATTGCTTAGAGAGGCTCTACTTTCATTAAACACAAGGACAGCTTGTGCTCTGTGAATACTTCACAGTAATAAATTGATCAACTTAAAACAACAAGAATTCACATCACAAACTTTGCAAAATGTCCAAGTTAAAGACTCTTCTAATGAGTTGCATGCATGTTTAGTCTTTATGCAGCAGTTTATAAAACTTAGGAATGTTAATCAAGTGAAGCTGGGATTAGTACACCAATAAGACAACCAAGAAGAATTTGCTTGGATTGCTTTCTAGCAAGACTTCTCAGCTGATACTATCTGTTCCAACAAGGCTTGGTTTCTCTCACTAACCCAACCATTGCATTTACAGCAAACACTGAAGACGGGCTGCTCTTCATGTTTACAGCTCAGCCTGTCTGTGCTAATTGTTGTGGAAAAGCGTGTGTTGGTGTCATCAGTACATTCAGCCCAGTTACCTAGCCCAGTGATGCTGCAGGTAAAGGAGCTGAAAAAGCTGCTGCACCATCAGCTTCCGGTTGTATGGGCAGATGTCAGAAAGGGAATCTCTGGAAGAAATATTCCCATCGCTTGAGTTTATGATACTCAGCAAAAACTGCACAACTCACTCATCCTCTTATCAGAAAATGTCTGTATTAACAACTGTAAGTTCTTTTCCTGACCCATTGCCTTAACTACCACCCAGTCACATATAATTAGTTTGTGAGACACCTGTTATTATAGATTGCTAAAAGGACAAGATTTGAATTAGATGAATCTAAATAGAATTCCAGTTGCTAAAATCTGAAATGCTGAATATAATATGAACCTTTATAGAGAAATCTAGGGTACTCTGGAATTTCCAGTGGTGTAATGGTTAACACATATGCTTGGCAAGTATGAGGGTGACAGTTTGATTCCAGTGAGAGACACAAATCCCCTCTGAGTTTGCATCAGGAAGAAGATCCAGTGTAAGACATTCTGCCAAAGGACATCCAGTGCCTCCTGCTCTAGCAAGGGACAATCTGAAAATGGCTTTTTTAAAGAGAAACATTTGTGTAAAAACAAATTCTACTTGGAGTTATTTAGAGACATCAGTAGCTTTTAATCTGTTGCTGCTTATAAGGTTGGTTTGCTGACTTGAGGTTTTCTGAAACTGGAGGCAGCAGTGCCTCTGTTTGGTGTTTCCACAGTTATTGTCTCTGTTTCCATGGAGCTTGAAACCTAAGATCCCATATGCCACCTGCCAGCCATCTTTCAACAGTTTTGCCCCCATGAATATATTTTCTTTGTTTGCTCCGAAGCAAGCTCACTTGCTGCCTAACAAATTTAACTAAACAGAATCTAAACTTGACTATCAAGTTCTGAAAATGTGAATAGCAGAATTAACTGAAAATAAGAAAACTGACTGGCTTTCCTTTTATATTTTCCTACCTTATGTGGTCAGTTTGGAAAAAAAAATCAGTTCAGCATGGTTGTCATCAGGTCATCTCAGGTCATCAGATGTTGTGCATAAGACTTCAAGTCGTGGAGGGGGTGTAATCATAAGAGGGAATAATTTAAACTTGTGTAAGGGTGTTCCCAATGTGAGAGAAAACCGTATTAATTATTGATAACTATTCTTCTCTTGACTGGGATGGGCTCACTCAGGATAGTAGATTAAAAGCTCTACCTTTCTACACCTCAGATAGGTGAGCTCTCACACACAGAGTCAGAAAATTTCAAATGATCAGACTGGGTCCTGAACTCCATGTCTGCTGTCAAGATTTTATTTTATTAAAGTTAGTAAGATTCTGACCATTTTTGCCAGATTTACTGATTAGTTATTTTCCATCTTCTGCCTAACTTCACATTGACCTTTTGCACCACTGATAGTGATTATTGTAGTGATATTATAAACCTGGATGTCTGCCATATGGACTATGAATGTCATTAAGATTAGCAATAATGAAAACATGGTTAAATTACAATACATAAATTAAGTATTAAAGCTATTTTCTGACAATTATTTACACATTGTTTTTGGTTATACTATGTTGTGAGACTTTCAGGCTTTCCCATAAAGGCATGTGATACTTCTCCTTCCTCTGTTTAAAGGACCAATTACTTATGAGTACTGTGAAAATGTCCAAATCTCCCTAACACAGTCAAAGACTACATGTCAAAGACTACATGACTAAAAACACTGCACCCAAGGCCAAGGCTTCGGTTTCTGAGATCAGGTAAGTGATAAATTTTCTGTGCTCTATTCTTAGGTCAGATGAGGAGCTGAAGCCCAGTTGCTCCGTGGGCCTGGATGAAGATGAAGGTTTCAGTGACTGGAGCCACAGGCTAGAAACCCGTAATGAGCAAGAGATGCAGAATGGCTGCAGGGCAAAGGAGCAGAGACCTTCAGCATCACCACCAAACCCTCAGAGTGACCAACATCAGGTGGATGAAGAGGGACAGGAGGAGGCAGGAGGACTAGAACCAAGGAGTAGGACCCAGGACACTTCAACAGAAGCTCCAGTGAAGGTCAAATAGATTTGTACCTTCAATGGCATACTAACATAGTGTTAAACCTACATCTTCAGTGCAGATTTACCTCACTATAGTGATCTGAGGTTCATTCAGACACAAGAGTTCTGGTTTACAGTTGTAGTAAGATGTTTACATACACTCATCATGGGCATGATTGCCATGTCATTTTGTTATTTTTTTCAGAGTGGAATGATTATACAGCGTACGCCTTTAATGACTTTAAAAACAAGAATTGCGTGCATAGTGTTGAAGCATTCATATAGGCTCAAATTGTCATGTCTGCAGTGGCAGACGGTGAAGAGTGTAGAGAGAGAGAGTAGACCCAAATTCAGACTACCAAGACACAATTTAATATTAACAAAAAGTGAGCCTTTATTTCTGGCTGCATGAAATGCAAACAAAGCAAAGGGAGACTAATATTCAACTAACTAAACACTAAGTACATGGATCGAAATTACCTGGAACAAGAAAAACATGGGACTAGGAAACAAAGGGCAGACAGTCCAACAACAGGCAAAGGAAGACAGAGGGCTAAATACACAAAGGATAATGAGGGGATGAGAATCAGGAGGGAAACATAGCTGGAACTCATCTGACACAATGAGACAGGGAGGAAGCAAAACAAAACACTCTGAACACATCTCAAGGGACTATCAAAATAAAACAGGAAACATGAGCCACACACTTTGACACAGGGACTGGGGAAGAATCAGACATGGGAACATAACTGACACAAAACAGACACAGGCGATAAACAAACATGAAGACAAGGGAGACTAGACATGAAACGTGTAATACAGGGGAGGCACAGTGACAAAACCTAAAGACTAGAAACGAATAGTTATGTCTATAACTTCTGTTCCCTGAAGGAGAGGAACGAGGTACAACACATAAGTAAGGGATATCACGCCCTCGCATGTCCTGGCTGAAGAAACCTTTATTCACGTCTTTAAGGCAGATGAGGGCTGTATCCCAATTCAGGACTGCAGCCTTAAAGGCCGCATTTTAAGGCCGATTACGTCACAGCGACGCGACGAAGGCTGTCCCAATTCGAAGGCTGCTCGAAATGCGGCC